TCTGTATCTGCCGCCATTCTGCTTTTCCTAGGAGGCTCTTTGCCTCTCCTTTCAACTGGCCTCGATGTGATCCAGTTTTTCTTGAATTGTTGCAACCAAGATGATGACAGCTTGCACTTTAAAAGGAAAGTAAGGCCAGCAGATGGCATAGCGATTATGTCACTGGACTTCCACATAGCTGACGGTGGTTCGAGTCCTGGACCAGTGGCTTGAAACTCACTCTGGGCGCATGTTGCGTGCGTGCCCAAGCTCCTGGGAGGAGAATGGAGGAGAAGGGATCGTGGTGCAGCCATCCCCCTCCGGGGGGTGATTTCTCACTTTCTCCTCTCACAGTCTCTGTCTCTGACTTTCTCATGAGCATAAGTATCCTAAGGCAAAAGTCTCGTAAAAAACAAAAAACAAAAAACAAAAAACAAATAAACAAACAAACAAAAACTAAAGAAGAAATAACATTCAAGTAGAGGAACACATGACGACTTAGAATGCACTATCTTAATGCAATCAGACTGCTCCATAAAGCTCCACCCAGCCTGGCCTGGCACCTGAGGCCTTTAACTCACCCCCTCCCCTGCCCCCAAGTGAGGAAAACAGTTTCCTACTTGGCCCCAAAGATCCCTCCTAGGCCTCTGACACTGTGTGTGACCATAGCCCCCAGAGGGACTTTCTCAATCTGGCCCTTCCTCCTGTCCTGAAGGGCACTGATGAGCTGGTTATAAAGACTGGTTCTGCTAAGCTCTCTTCCCAGAACTCACCGCCGTCCCTTGCTGGGACTGAAGAAAACTGCTTCTCTCCCTGCCTCACCTGCCCCCAGGTGCCCTACCTGCTGGTCTAATTCCAGTCTGAGCACTGCCTCTTGTTCATGGTAAGTCTGCAGAGCAGAACTGACTCTTCAGAGTCAGGTGCAAACGCTTGGTACATACTGAGTGTATAAGGAGTATCTGTGGAATGCAAACGTGGACATGTGGATAGATACCCAACCCTGGGACCGTGAGTCTGAGCCTGTCTCCCATCCCCAGTGGCTCCTTCTCTGAGATGTCTCGCTGAATCCCAGATCCTGAGGGTTTACAACAGAACGACTCCAGGGCTCAGAGTGTGTTTAAATGTACGTCGCAGCACCAGGGCTACAGGTGGAAACAAAGGATTTTGTCAGCGGAAATCACATAGCCCAAAGTGCAGACGGGCCAAGGAGATGGCCCTGTGTCACTTGTGGTCGCAGCACTGCAGTGAGGCTAAAGGACCACCAGCCACACCATGGGCAGTGTCTCCTCCAGAAGGCGTGGGTGCGAGAGGAACTCCCTCTGGGCAGCATGGTGCCAGGTGTGTCCCGGTGTCCCGACAGCCCTGGAGGAGCTCAGAGGTGGTGTGGGGAAGGTCTCTGCCGTCGCAGCCCAGGCTGGGAGGATGTGTGTGCACGTGTGTGTGTGTATGCATGTAAGAGTGAGCGAGAAGAACCACGGCTGCTCCTTTGGGACTCCTGCACTTGTGTGCTGCCGTGACTGAGGGTGTGCTGTGTCTGACTCAGGAATTTGGCCTCCAGGAGAGAACACCCCTGTGGAGGTGACGCCCTGCCCGGCTTATTGCTGCCTCCCCTCCCTCGCTGTTCTCCAGGACCAGTCCCACCCTCTTCCCCGTGGACTGTGTGTGTTGGGTTGGGGTGCCCTTCTTCACCGGGGACTCCCGTCTCTCCTGCAGACCCTCCCTGGTGAAGCCCTCTGACCCAGCCTCCCCTGCTGGAGTCAGGACTTCCTTCCTCTCCGTAGCAAAGTTCATGCCTGGTGCTAAAACGACAGGCCCCAGGATATCCTCTGTTCCTGCCTCGGTGCCCGCCACAGTGCCAGCTCAGGATGGGCACGGACACCTCCCGGAGCGTGAGTGCAAGGAATGGGAAGAGGGATGATGACAGTGTGTGGGAGAAGTGGGCTTATCTTCAGATGGGACTCCAGACCTGACTCCTGTCCCTTGTGCCCTAGGCCAGCTTGGTCGGTGGCAGCTGCTGGAGCTGGCCGGGAAGTCACCAGTGACATCTAGTGGTCACGGTAGGCTGCAGTCCCCTGAGGTGTTCCAGAAGGTGTGAGGCCTGCCTCATGGGCAGTGCAGGGCTGAATGTGGATTGCCTGGTGCTAGCCTCTGCTTGGCAGAGGCCAGGCTCCCCGCTGTCTGCCAGGAGAGAGCTGGACTGTAGCTCCCATGGCCTCATGAGAGCTGCTCCCCTCCCCGCCCCTCTGCCCCGGCTCTGGTTCCCTCAGCCCTTGTGGGACCCAGGCTCAGCCTCGTCGCCCTAAGGCCTGGGGAACGGTAAGGCTTTAGGGTGTCCACGGAGGCAGCCACAGACTCATTATGGTGCAGTTACTGAGACAGCCAGTGCCAGCCCATGGATGAGGGGTAGAGAATGGGCCTCTCACCTGCTGAGCACCCGCCGTGTGCCAGGCACCATGGAGGAATCAGGAGCTCCTTACGGGCTGCCTGTCTTGTCCTGGGCAGGCCCAGTGGGGCACTGAGCCCCAGAGACACCCTCTTGAAAGGGGAACGGGGTCCCTGCTGACAGCTGCAGGAGCCACAGGTTAAGTGGGCGACAAGCAGCACAGCAGTGACCTGCAGGCTGTGCTTGGCTCAGTTGTGTCTGGGGATGTGCTGGTCCCCACCGCCATTGCTGGTGCTCCCTGCGCGGGGCCTGGCAGAGTGCCGTCACAGTGGGGTGCTCCAGGCAGCCCAGTGGTTGCTTTGCAGAGCGGGTGGAGGCGGCATGGTGTGCCAAGAACCATACCTTCGGGCTCTCAGCTCCTCTGTCAATAAACAGCTTCCCAATTCCACTTCCTCAGCCAAGGTCTTCTCAGGAACCAATTCCAGATGCCAGCAGCCCGGAAGAGCAGCAGTGCTCTCAGGCTGGGGGGGGTGGGGGGTGGGGTGCATTCCTTGTCCCTTCCCGCTCCTGCTTCTCTGCCGCCTCCTTCCTTCCTTTCCATCCTCAGAGCCCTAGCGCTGCTCCCATCTAGCACTTCTTCTCTCCCCACTTCCGGTCTCGCCTCTCCTGTTCCCCCCTTTCTCACCACTTCCTGTACTCTTGGCCTTCTTATTCTCCATTCCCTTTCCCTCTCCGAGTCCTGATGTCTGTCTGGCTTTTGTCTGTGCATCGCCTGATCTCTGCCCCACCCCTGCCCCTCCCCAGCCTGACATCATTAAAGTGTAATTACTTGACAACTTGAGGTGGGCAGGGGTCCCAAGGGATCTTCCTCTGAGTCTTTCCTGCAGTCCCAGGGAGTGGCAGTGAACGCCCTGCAGCCAAGCCCCAGCTCCTGACAGCAGCTCCCTCCCTGCCAGGTCTGCAGAGCCCACCCACCACTATGCATCATTTAGTGTGTATAGAGAATTTACCCAACATAAATACACCTCAGATCAGTCCAGTCGAGAATACTACACGTGTAATCATCAGCAGGTAATAAACTAAATTCATACATCCGCACGTCTTTTAATTTTTTAAAGAATTATTTTATTTAACTTTATTCATGTATTTATTTTAATTTGACCAGAAAGGGACAGAGAGAGGAAGTGAGAGAGCAAACCACCAGGTCCAGGACTCGAAACATAGTCAACCCTGTGGGAGTCCAGCGCCCTTAACCACCATGCTACCTACTGGTTCCACAACTGAATATGCAACAGATGTTGTGCTAGGTCCTGGAGCATGACCTTCCTCATTTGGTCCTCACAGCAACCTCCTGAGGTAGGCTGGGCAGTGCTGTCACACTCCCATTAGACAGAAGAGGAAACAAACTAAGCCAGGCAGCTTAGGCAGCTGGAGACCTGGCTTTTATTCTGCGGAGTTCACCTGGCACCCGATGTCCCACCAACCATTCAGGAGTATTGAGAAGGGTTTCAGGGACCTGGATGTTCATGGACCTGTCCCAAAGCACACTCCAGCCCCCACCTTCTCTCCCAGCCCCAGACATTGTGCTCGTTCCCCTGTGGCACTAATCTACAGCTGTTTTTGAGAGGGTCTGAGTGCAGGACTGGCCAGTGCCCTCTGCATGTGTTTGTCCCTTTCCTGCAAGTCACAAAACCCACTCATTCCCTAATTATGGCAATCATTGTCTGACTGCATACGCTGATTATACAATTACGTTTTCATGTGCTAAGCGCAGAATTAAAATCAGCAATGGCATGGGAAAACTTATGAAATTTCCGGGTGCCAAATGGAATTGGAGGGCCAAGCAAGGTGCCCCCACTCCCTCCCACGCAGAGGGCAATGGAAGAGTTCAGGGCACAGATGCAAGGACTGGGTAGTGACCAACTCTCCCAGCCTCTCAGACACCACTAATTTGAAAGCGTCTGTCCTCACAGCCCATCAGCGCTCTGGGGCTCTCTAGACCAAGTAGCCTGGTCTGGAAGATGTGATCCAGCAGCTGGGCTCTCACAAACCCTGCCCCAGACGCACCTGCCTGCACAGGTGGAGCCTGAGCTGTGGCTTTTATGGGCTCCAGGGAGCCCGAGGCCAGTGGGTCTAGTCCAGTGGCTTCCAGTGTCCTGGGCCATGCCTAGCTGGGTTCATGGGTCTGAGGAGGAGAGGCTGGAGGCAGGCTGCTGCTCTTGCCCCATATTTACAGCACTGGCTCCTGCCCCTTCCTGCGCAAGTCCCATATCCCAGGGGAGACATTACAGGCGCCTGTCTTCTTCACCTCATTCCTTCTGTCTCCTGCAGAAGATATGAACCTCACCTTCCAAGGAAGCCTTCCTGGTTTAGTTGTGCTTGGTGTACCCCACAGTAGAGCCCTAATCGTGTCCATCTGGTGGCCTGTCCACCACAGGCTCCTCCCAAATGGCCGAGGAGGAATTTTGTTCGTCCTCATCTTGCTCGGCACAAATGCCCTGCTGCCAAGAAGTCTGCAGGTCGCCTCTGCACTGTGAGCACATTTGCAAATTGCCTTATTTGAAATGCACCAGGGGAGTCAGCTCTTTAAAGAAATACTATAAAGATCCTTTGGTAAAGACTGGAATCACTTTCCGGTTTACTTTATATGTAACTTTGGATTTCCATCTCTCTAGGGGAAGAGGCGGGGGTGAAGAGAGGCTGTTCCCTGGTTTGTACTTCCACAGTAGCTTTCTTGACCCTGCAAGCATGTATGCAAGGCCTTCTGTGCACAGGCCCAGAGTGCTGGAGGGGGAAGACAGAAAGGTGGGTAAGACCTAGTCCCTCCCTGTTGGTGATACAGATGCACACATGTGCCAGGTTCATCAACACAGGTGTGTCAAGGGAGCCCCAGTTGCACAGAGGAAGGTGGATTACCTCTGCCCAGGACTAGGGAAAGCAGGGAAGTCTTCTTGGAGGAGGTGGTTTTGAGTGATGAGTTGGAAGCATTCAAATAGGACAATTGAAAAGAGGAAATGAATGCAAAGTGGGGAGGCACTGAGGCTGGGATGGCAACAGGGCCAGGCTACCATGGCCTTGGATGTCAGGGTGAGGAGGCTGGTATTGGTTCTGAAAAAAAAAAAAAAAAAGAGGATGAAAGTCGGTGGCATTAATCAGAGGAGTGACATGAACTTACTTGTATTTTAGGATGATCCCTTTGGCCTGAATGGACCCAACACTGGTGGGACTGGACAGAAGAGACGAGCTCTGAGGGAGTTAGCTCTGGGCTGGAAGGAAAAGAAAGCCTAAACTGGATGGGGCCACGGGGCTGCCAGGGAGGGGTAGTTTTCAGAGACATTTCCAGGAAAGAAGGGAAATAGCAGGAAGGCTCCTTTGATAGAAGGAGGAGAAGTGAGGAGGGAGATGGCGAAGGAGCAGGAGGTCAGAGAACCCCTGGCTTGTGAGCTGTGGTTTCTCTAGGAGTTAGAATTTGGGTCAACTGCCATGAGCGAGAACGGAGGGCTGGGGTGAGAGCTGATAACCAGTCAAGCTCATGAAAAGTCTCCTTCAGCTGTTCTTGGCTGCCAGGGCCAGAAGACAGGGGTGGATGTCGGAGTAACCTTGAGATGGAGATCGGGGCTGGGAAGAGCAAGTCTGGAAATTCCAAGGATGTTGGCAGTGGTGCGGTATGCCCTACCTCTGCACCCAGGCTCGTGGGAAAGGGAAGGCGATCAGGCCCAAGGGAGGGGGAGGGCATGCAGTGCTTTGACTGTGTCCCCAAAGTTCGTGTGTTGAAACTTAATCCCCATTGCAACGGTGCCGAGAGGGGGCTTTGAAGAGGTGACTAGGGGGACCAGCAGTTAGCGTAATGGCTATGTTGCTGAACTCCCATGTAGCTGACTGTGGTTCGAGTCCCAGACCCAGTGGCTTAAACTCATGCCGGGCACGTGTACGTGCGTGCCCAAGATTCCGAGAGGAGAATAGAGGAGAAGGGATTGCAGCGTAGTCATCCCCCCGGGGGAATGATTTCTCGCTTTCTGCCCCTCTGTCTCTGTCCTTCTGGTGAGAGCACGTGCCCTATAGCAAAAACCTCTAAAGAAAAAAAAGAGGTGACTTGGTTGGACCAGCATATGCCACAGTGGTTGTGTCGCTGGACTCCCACATGGCCAAATGCAGTTTGAGTCTCAGACCCAGTGAGTTGAAAACCATGCTGGGAGTATGTGCATATGTGTCCAGGATCCCGGGAAGAAAGAATGGAGGAGAAGGGATTGCGGCATGGCCGTCCCCCCTGGGGGGTGATTTCTCATTTTCTCTCTCTTTGTCTCTCTGGCGAGTGCACATGCTCTAAGGCAAAAAAATCTCTCAAAAAGAAAAAAAAAAGGAACTAAGTCTCAAGGGCTCTTGTGAACAGATCATACCCGTTCAGGATCCATGCCCGTTGACTCTCGTGAATGGATTATTGTCACTATTGTGGGAGTGGGCTGGTTGTTGAAGGGCTGGGCCTGTTGTAAAAGCCAGTACGGCCTCTTGCTCTCTCGCCTTCTGCCTTCCACTGCAGGGTGACATGCAAGAAGGCCCTCCCCAGAGACAGACCCTCAACCTTGGACTTCCCAGTCCCCAGACTATAGGAACATACTTCCTTATAAATTACCCGGGGTACAGTAATATAGCAACACAACACGGACATGACAGGGCAGCGAGAGGAAGGCCTCGGTGCCGGTGAGTACGGTGGGCCAGCACAGAGAGCTGGGGAGAGTTGAAGGGGTCCCTGACAAAGTCAGCCCACCCGCTGTGGGATGTCAGCCAGGTCTTTTCCAGGCTTGCTCGCTTCTAAAACGAGACAACAGTACCTTCCTCACAGTCTTCAGTGTGACATCTAAAAGGGGTTGACTCAGGAGGCCTTGCACAATGTGATGCGCTGAAAGTTGCCAAATGAAACAGAAGGTACTGATCCAGAAGGGCCCAATAAGTGTCCCTTTCCTTATTCACCTTTTAGTCCTGGGTGCCTGCTTGGTGCCTGGCACACCAAAGGCACTGGGCAGATGCTTATTTCAAGAGACAATACAAGGTCATGGTGACCATGCAAGGTCTACTGCCTGCTTGCTGTTGGATTAAGCTGAGCTTCCACTTTCTCTGCTGGTGGGTGGAGCCCATGACCACAGCTTCCTGGGATGTGGTATGGACTGAAGAAGTCTACACTTGTGGAATGGGTACTATTGATGACTTCACCCTATCCCCTCAGTACTCATACTCCTGAAGGCTCGATGACTTTTTTTTTTTTTTAAATTTGGCATGTATGCTCACCAGAGAGACAGACAGAGAGAGAAAGTGAGAAAATATCACTCAAGGGAGATGGTCTCCTCTATTCTCCCTCAGGATTTTGGACACACATGGAAATGGGATGTTTTTCAAGCCATCGCTTGAACTGTGCAGCTGGCCATGTAAGATCCCGCCCCCTTCACCATCTTGCCACCGGCCAGCCCAGCCCAATCTTACTGTAGGCACCAGCAAATCTCTGCGCAAGGGTCGTGGGAGCATGCTCTGCACATCTGCGAGCCAGAAGTGCTGAGGAAGCACTCCCACTAACCAAAGACAGGAGGCATAGCAGAAAGATTGGCTTCTTTGCATCCCAGGTGGGACGACTCAGGTGTATTCCGTGAGCCTCCAGATCCCCAGCAGGATCCAATACCAGTCGCCTGCCCTGGCTGCTAGCTCATTCGTGCAGGTTTGGGCTTCCCTCCCTCCCTGACTCGCTTCCTCACTCCCATGCTGGTGCTGCCTGAGATCACCTCCCAACTAAATCCTTGTGCTCTAATCCCCGTCTCGGGATCTGCTTCCAGGGTCTGCTTCCGGGAAACCCAAACTAAGAGAGTTTACAAAGCACTTTAACAAACAGTAGCTGGCTCATAGTCTGAAAGCTGCTTGAAGGCAGAAGGTGTGGTCTTTTCAGGCCCTGGCATACAGAAGACTCCCAGTACAGGTGTGTTGAGTGAACCAGCAGGCAGGCCCCTCTGTCACCCTGTCCTTTCCAGCCCTCCCATTCTCTGTTCCCCAATCTCTTTTCTCCCCATCCTAATTTTTTTCTCTTTTTAAAGTTTTTTTTTTTCTTTCTTGAAAAAGAGAGAGAGAGAGAGAGAAAGAGAGAGACAGCTAGCCCAATAGGGTCTTCACACCATAATCCATCCCCATCTTCAGCTAGTCCCCATCATGGGCACACGTACCTGGCATACTCGAAGAGATCTCCAGCTGTGAGCCTGAAACCTTCCCATGTGGGTCAGCCTCACAGAGCCTTGTGTTACTGCCATGGCACCATCCACCCTCTAGTCCTGCCTTTTCTTTCCTGACCTTTCTTTTTCTCTCTTCTTCCTCCTTTCTCTTCTCCTGGAAGAAAGATGTTCTGTGCCCAAGTGTCCCTCTGCGGTCCCTAGTGTTCCACGCTGGAAACGAGCCCTTCTGCAGCATTGTGACATCACTGTGCTTTAGCCAATGGCTGCCTGCTGGGCTGGGCCCTTGGCCTCCTGGGACCACTGCCCTCTATTGACAGGGAGAAGCCAACTTCTGCAGAGCTCCTTAGTCTTCTGGGTGGTGCCCAGAGCATGGATCCCTCCTGATTCTGCTGCTGGCCCAATGTTCCTCACAGTCAAGCTGCTCCTGGGCCGGAGATGCAGCGTGAAGGTGTCGGAACAAGAGAGCGTGGCCACGCTCAAGAAGCTGGTGTCTGAGCGGCTGCAGGTGCCCGAGGAGCAGCAGCACCTGCTCTTCCGTGGCCAGCTCCTGGCCGACGACAAGCGCCTCTCGGACTACTGTATCGGGCCCAATGCCGCTATCAACGTCATCGTGCGGCCCCCAGAGGAGACAGCGCTGATGGAGGCTCCACAGCCGCAGCCCCTGTGGCACCAGCTGGGCCAGGTCCTAGCCAAACCCTTCAAGCCACAGGACGCTGAGGCCGTGCTGCAGCTTCTGAGGCAGGAGCAGGAGCAGCGCCTGCAGAGGATAAGCCTGGGGGACTTGGAGCAGCTGGCGCAGCACTTCCTGGCAGAGGAGCAGGCAGACAGCCAGCCGGAGAGAGTGAGCCCCAGGCCTGGGAGCACCTGCATCATGCAGGAGAGAGAGGAGAAGGTGGAGGCGAAGGAGCAGGAGGAGGTGGCCACGTCGGCTGATCAGTAAACCAGCCAGTCCCACTGATCTGTACGCGAAAATCCTCCTAACCTCATCCTTCTGTCTTCCCTGGTGCCTTTCCCCACTCCCTCCTGCTGTGTAGATGCATCACCCCTTTTATGAACCTTCAAAGCAGCCAAAGGGTTTTGGACTCCTCTTTACCCTCTTGGGCCTGAGGTCCCCTCTGAAAATGATTCCAGAATGATTCCAGTCCTATTACCAGGCCCTAGAAGGCATTCCGCTCTCTGAGGGTGATCCTAAAGGAATGATCAAAGGCCATACCCCTCCTGGGCTGGACAATCTTGCCCAAGCATGCCCAGCAGCTCCCTAGGCTGTCAGCAACCCCTCTAGCCTGGAGTCTCCACGGCTCTAGACAGACCCTCTTTCTCCTTAGGAACAGAGAGACAATGTGAGTTCATCTCCCTTTGTCCTCAGACCATGATGTCTACCCCCAGCCAAGAGAAAAGGAGTGTCAGGTAGCTGTCCCCTGCTCCCTGGGCCAGGCTGTCCCTGCTGTCTGCCTGCTTGTGCTTCCCTAGCAGAAGGGCCAGGAACAGCAGAGGTAGGAGTGGAGGAGAGCACCCACCGTGTCAGTTGGAGCCTTCAGTGAGACAGAGTGGCAGGAAACAACCCCAGGCAGACAGAGAGGCTTGCAAAATCCCACAGCCACCGTGCCAGCCTCAGCAGACCCATGCTCCGCCATCCCCAGTCTGGTGCTCAGTAGGTCGCGCTGAGCTCCCCTGCCTGCCCACCCATGCCCAGGATTCTCCGGAGGAAAACTGGCCTCTGTCAGGACCTGGCTCACCGAGCGCGCAGCCTAGATGGAGACTGCACAGAAACATGTGAAGCGAAGCAGCAACGGGCAACTAAGCATGGCCTGTGTGACTCAGCTGGGGCCGCACAGGGCCTGGGTCAGCGTGGAGGGCCGGCCCTGCCTCCACTCCCCTGGAGTGAGAGAGGCCTGCGGAGTCCTTGTGCTCTGTAGCGGTGGGAGGCGGCAGGGGAGCCCACCAAGACCTACGGTCCCTCCCTTCACTGCTGAAGTCCCCGAAGCACTGCTCTGGCAGAAGTTTCTCTTCTGGGAGATGGAGAAGGGGGAAAGGATGAAAGCACAAGCACGATCTACTTCCCTGGACAGCATTCTGTCCTCGGCGTACAGAGCCCTGGTCCTCCACTCCAGCCCCGGCGCAGCCAGCATCTTGCTCCATGAGCAGGGGACGGACTTCACCCGTCTGACGCTCAGTCCCCTGTTACGTAGGGGCCGTTATAGTAGGATTGGCGTGCCCACGGGTGTTCTGAGGGTCAGACATGAAGGCTGAACTCGGCAGGGGTGGGCTTAGCGGCTGGGGTGGGGATGGACCCTGGTCTGTGCCAGCCTGTTCAGTAGCAGCTGCTCCCCCACTTCTCCTTCAGTTTATGACTCGTCTCCTTTGCAATGGCCAGGAGAGGAGGACATTGGGGGTTCTGAGGGCATGCATGCCCTCTCCCGGGGTACCAAGGATTCAGCACTCGCCTGCTATGTGTGGGGGAGTCCTTGGTTCTTGTCCAGGTCCTGTCCTGCCTCTGGGCTCTCCATCCTCAGCAGGGGAGGCCTCTCGACAGTTCTGTGGGTGTTCGTGCTGGGTTTGTGCCATTTGCTAAGGGGGACGAGCCTATTATCTTTACATTAGAGGAACTAATAGCCCATTTCCCAGGAAATCTGTGAGTGATAAAAATAAGTGGACCATTTTATTCCTTTGCTGAAAGAAGCTGGTGTGAAGGAAGGACGGAGGAAGGCTTTGTTTGCTCTCTCTCTCGTGGAAGTGGCCAGACTGGCTGAAAACAGGCCAGGGGAGGCAGCCACCTCCAGAAACCTGGGTTTCTGTCCCCAGTACTGCAGGGAGCATGTATCTGATCCCAGGCCGGGAAAAGGAAAGCGGAGTTGCCCTTCTGTGTTGTAGTACGCCTCCCACTACTCACTTCACCACCCCCCTACAGCTGAGCGGGAGCCCATGCCAATGCCGATCAGTAGGGGTTTAGGGAGAGCTTGCATCAAGAGCTTGCATGGGTGTTACCTCTTCCGCGGCTGCATGGGTGTTACCTCTTCCGCGGCTGCATGACTGAGTGCTACATTTCTCCCTGGGGGGTAATTGCTTTGTCCCCTCATGGATGACTTTATAGTTATCGGGGAACAGTGAGCAGGGTATATTGAGAGGCTGGGGCAGGAGCAGTCCCTGATTTTCCAGGGGAGGCTTAGAATTCTATTCTGTGTGGAGAACCCATGCTCTCTGACCACCCACCACGGGGACCCTTCCTTGTGCTCAGTTCAGACTTAAACTTGTGCCAGTGAACCAGCCAACCAGCCCAGCGAGGGCTCTCTGTTCCTTTCTCTGTTTCACCACTTGGGGGCCAACAGGATTAGGGGGAAGGCATGATTTCTAATCTGCAGCTTCGGCTCTTTTTAATCACTCACAGCACCTCTCCCCTACCATGAAAGGATGCCTGCGTCCCTCTGAGTAACAACTTTGCTCAAGCAGGAGGCCTTGCAGGACAGCCACCGCGTTCAGTTAGCCAGCTTTGTGTTCTCACACACAGAAACATCTGGCCTCTTCCTGGATCCCCTGCAGCCCTTACCTCTCAGTGCTCAGCAGAGTCGTCTTTCTGATGGAAATGGGAGCCACATCCTGGTTCACCCACTGTTTCATCAGTCCTTTTCTTTGATCATTAAACATTTTCAGGCCTCTGCTTTAGTTTGACTGGGCCGCTATAACAAAATGCCTCAGACTGGGTAATTTATAAACAATGGAAATACATTGTTCATAATTCTGGACACTGAGAAGTCCGAAATCAAGGTGCAGCAGATTCAGGGTCAGGTGAGGACCTGCCCCTCATTGATGGTGCCTCTGTGTGTCCTCGCATGGCAGGTAAGATGAACACTGCATTCTTACATGGTAGAAGGACTCCCTTCATGCTTCTTGCAAACTTTTTTATGAGAGCACTAACCCTACGCATCAGGAAGAGGCCCTCATGAGTTCATCACTTCCGCAAAGGCCCTACTTCTTCATACGGTCACACTGAGGACTGAATTTCAACGTACAAATTGTGAGGGGACACTAACGTTCAGACTACAACAACTGCCTACCATGGGCATGCTTTATAGGGACTCAGACTGGGAGATGTGTCCTGCCTTCTGGATAGAGAGTAGCATGGGGCCAGCAGATGGTGTAAGGATTGCCTTGCTGGACTTCCACATAGCCAACCACAGTTCAAGCCCTGAACCCAGTGGCTTGAAACTCATGCAGGGTGCATGTGCATGCATGACCAAGAACCAGAGGGGAAGACGGAGGAGAGGGGTTTGCAGAGTGGCCATCCCTGCTGGGGGGTGATTTCTCACTTTCTATCTGTCTCTCCAGTGAGCACACATGCCTTGTAGCAAAAATCTCTCTCTTAAAAAAAAAATAGAGAGCAGACCCCTACCGTCTTACACCTGCTACAGTGGAGGATGATGGGGAAGCACTGACATCTTTCCTTGGCGTGAGGTTGATACATGGTAGGTAGCCATGTTGATTTTACCCCTAGTTCTAAATGGGCAGGGGTGAAAAAACATATGTCTGATATGATTTTCAAGCTGCCAGGGTGAGGATTCAAACCATGGTTGGCCATGTAGGATTCAGCTTCCTTAACACTAGGCTAGGGGACCAACCTAATATTTGATTTTAGAAGCAAACCCCAGTCCTCTCCTTTTTCTCTATTCCCATTAGCTCTCCTCCCTAACCTCTTTGCTTAGGATTAAGTGAGATTTTAGTTATCTTAGCTTCCAGCTGGTTTTTCTTTTGAAATGTATTTCTTTTCTAAAAATAGTATTTAAATAATTATTTTTATTTATGTATTATTATTTTTAAATTAGTATAGGGTATGTACACTCACCAGAGAGAGACAGAGAGAGAGAGACAGAGAGAGAGAGAGAGAGAAAGGTGTGGGAGAGAGAGAAGGCAAGCCACGAGGCCCAGGACTTGAACCGTGGTCGGCCATATGGGAGTCCAGCCCTTATCCACCTTGCCACCTGCCAGCCCCTGAAAGTGTGTTTCTTGAGGGAGAGATAGAGAGTGAAAGAAAGAGGGTGGCACTCCCGACATGGTTTTTACTCCTAGTCCCAGCCGCTTGGGATCACGGGTGTGTGTGCACGCCCAGTATGTAGAAGCAGACCTCTAGAGCAAAACCTAGGACCTTCCCACACAGCTACAGCGTTGCAAAGCATTGCGTGAATGTGGTGCCACTGTGGCTCCAGCTGTTTGAAACTGGAGAAGACGGGTATGGGTGGAAGGAAGTGAACAGAAAGGGCCTGACCCAAGTGAGACATCCTAGAGAAGACACGGTATCACCCATGCTGAGGTGTCCATAGACAGGGCAGGCAGGGCTCTGGGGATCTTCCGTCTGTGCAGGGAGAGGTTCCATGAGGGAGACCAGAGCTAGGGGTGGAATATCAGCATCTCAACATCTATTTCTATATCTGGGACTTAGGTTTTACTATATGAAAATAAAAATCAACATGGAAAAGACCGTAATCAATGCAGTAAGCCCTCCTGGATGTAGTTCCTTTTTTTTTTTTTTTAAAAAAAAATTTTTTCTTTAAATTTTTTGAGAGAGAGAGAGAGAGAGAAAGTGAAAGTGAGAAAGCAGGCCACCAGGTCTGGGACTCAAACCATGGTCAGCCATATGGAAGTGTTCAGCGCCCTAGCCACCATGCCATCTGCTATTCCCCTCTCATGGATGTAGTTATAAAACTGTTGAATTCTGCACTTTGGGGTGGCCCTGTTAGTGGGAGAATCACTACAAATGGAGGCTCAGAAGTACTTAGTTCAAATCTTCACGTTAAGACAAACTTGACCCAACTGCCTAGTATGCACATTGAACTCTGAGGTGTCTTCCCATGTTAAGGTTCTGTGGTGGAATGGAGCCATAAATGGAGCTGTCGATGCCCCAGGCTGGGGTGCAGCAACAGGGGCCTGCCCTCATGCAGAGGATTGTGAGGCCTTAAGAACACATCAGGGAGGAGCACTTACTACAAGGATGGACATGGAGAGATGGACGAATTGCTACCAAATAGCATGGACAGTAGAAATACACTTTTGTAAAGAGATAGAAAGCTTACCTCAAAATAACACCACAGGTATCATTTAAGG